CTAGAATCTTTGGATGCACTGCTTATGTTCATATCCCCAAAATTCAGCGATCTAAATTGGATCCTTGTGCTAGAAAATGTATTTTCGTTGGGTATTCAGATGTACAAAAAGGTTATCGTTGTTATGACCCTATTTCTCACAAAATATATGTCACATTAGAAGTCAATTTCAGGGAAAATGAGCCTTATTACTCAGGGGGAGCCTCAACTTCTTCTTCTGAGGGGGAGAATCCAGCTTCACCAATTAATACAGAAGATGAAGTTTGGCTCTCTAACTCAGCCCCTCTCTTGGATACTCAAAATGCAGCAGAAACCGCAGGAAAAAATGCAGAATCCGAAGGGACAAATGTAGCAGACATTGCAGCACCAAATGCAACACAACATGCAGAATCTGAAGCACAAAATGAAGCTGAAACCGAAGCAGAAACAACAGCTCAAAATGAAGATCCTACTCTAACACACATAACCGAAGGCTCTCCTATGATTGTCCCTGGAGTTCAGCCCCAAATTCAAACAGAACATGAGGTAACTCTTATCCCTCCTGCTAATACACTTGACACACATGTCAGAAAATCCACTCGGATTAACAAAGGTATTCCAAAAAAATTCTATGAACCTGACCCTAAAGTAACGGCCAAATATCCTCTTAGCAACTATGTATCTACCCAACACTTATCTGAATCATATGCTTTATCTGTTAATCAATTATCTAGTGTGTCAATTCCAAGTAGTGTACAGGAAGCACTTGATGATCCCAACTGAAAGAAAGCAATGAATGATGAGATGGAGGCACTTCAAAAAAATTCAACTTGGGAATTAATACCTCTGCCAAAGGAAAAAAAGACAATTGGGTGTAAGTGGGTATTCACAGTAAAATTAAAGGCAGATGGAAGTATAGACCGGTACAAAGCAAGACTAGTAGCCAAGGGATATACACAGAAGTATGGGATTGACTATCAACAGACGTTTTCCCCTGTAGCCAAACTCAATACTATAAGGATTTTACTCTCACTAGCAGCGAACAGGGATTGGCCCTTGAAACAGTTTGATGTAAAGAATGCTTTCTTAAATGGTGACTTAGAGGAGGAAGCTTACATGGATATACCACCAAGAGTGAAACTAACTCAATCAAATGGAGATCTAGTTTGCAAGCTGAAAAAGGCCTTATACGGACTCAAGCAATCACCAAGGGCATGGTTTGGGCGCCTCTCCTTAGCAATGAGAAAGTTTGGGTACAAACAGAGTAATTGTGATCATACTCTGTTTTATAAACATAGAGCAGGGAAGATAACTATTCTGATAGTTTATGTTGATGATATGGTACTAACTGGAGATGACATTGATGAGATGAAGTCCCTGGAAAATCGGTTGGCAACTGAGTTTGAAATGAAGGATCTAGGTCCTTTAAGATACTTTCTTGGGATAGAAATTGCAAGATCCAAGAATGGCATATTTCTATCTCAAAGAAAATATATAGTAGATCTCTTATCAGAAACCGGAATGCTAGGCTGTAAACCAGCTGAGAATCCCATTGAAATGAATCATATACTTGGAGTGTATCTAGACGAAGTGAAGACTGACATTGGAAGGTATCAAAGACTAGTAGGAAGACTCATTTACCTTTCACATACTCGGCCTGACATTGCATATGCAGTAGGGATGGTAAGCAGGTTTATGCACTCTCCTAGTGAAGATCACATGAAAGCTGTATATCGGATTCTAAGGTATTTAAAGGGGTCACCTGGAAAAGGCATTCTGTTTTCAAAAAACAACAAGAAAGGCATTGAAGGATTTACTGATTCTGATTGGGCTGGTGATAAAACGACTAGACAATCTACCTCAGGGTATTTTACACTAGTAGAAGGCAATCTAGTCACTTGGAGGAGTAAAAAACAAAAAGTTGTTGCAAGATCCAGTGCTGAGGCAGAATTTAGAGGTATGGCATACTGTGTCTGTGAATTATTGTGGATTAAAAATATTCTGAATGATTTGGGAATTAATTATAATCTTCCTATGAGTCTTTACTGTGATAATAAAGCTTCTATTGAAATTGCTCATAATCCGGTTCAACACGATAGAACAAAGCATGTTGAAGTGGATAGACACTTCATAAAAGAGAAACTGGATCAGAAAATTATCACCACTCCTTTCATCAGATCAGAAAACCAACTTGCAGACATCTTGACAAAGGCAGTCTCTGGAAAAGCTCTAAAAGATGCAATCAACAAGTTAGGCATGTATGACATCCATGCACCAACTTGAGGGGGAGTGTTAGATTAGGAAGTTTAAATTTAGAAAGTTGTTGTAACAAAGAATATTTGTTTTTCTGTTTCAGCAACAAAGTATTTGATTCTTTATTTTGTTAGAGGATTTTTAGGAAGTTTAAAATCTTGTTTTGTGTATTTATACACCTCAATTGAAGAGGTAAAGATATCAATGAACAGAAGTATTTCAGTAGTATCATTTTTTACATTTCTGAACCGAAACACGAATGGAGAACATGAATGATTCGAAGTAGAGAGAAATTTTGAGGATTAGATTTAATAATAAAGAACAAATTCAATCATTATGACAAATTTTCTCTCAAAACATTGTTCGTCCTTCTTATTTTGCATTTATGGGGTTCTTTATCACCTCTACTATTAAATGTTCAGTACTTTCTTACTAGAAATCAATAAAAATAAATGAATTTATGTGACATTAAAACAAAGTAAGTGCTGAAATAAATATATCTAGGGGCGTTTTTAGAGGATAAATTTTTGAATTACAAAAGTGAGAATATCTAATGATCCGAAATCAATAATTCACTTCGGATAACTCACTTGGAAAACCAATTCTGAATTGAGTTTCGAGCTAGGGAAAAAATATAAATGATACTAGAAATTAATAAGTAATAAAAAAATTAAATTAAATAAAAATAAAAATAAAAAAGAGAAAAAAAACAAAAAAAGAATTAAAGAAATAAAAATAAAGAAAAAAGAACATAATAAATAAATAAGATAAAAAAAATATTTCGGTTCATGAATTAAATTTTTTTTTTAAAAACAATTCTTTTAAAAAGCAGTGTCATTCAGTTCACAATTCAATTTAGTTCTTTTGATTCATTTACATCCTGGATTGACAATCACTAATCAAACTAGTAATCTTTTGAAAAAAAAAAAAAACAGAAATATTATTGTTATTGTTGTAATAGGAACAGTATTTGGAGCAACAATCCGAGTAGTTACAAAAATTATTAATATTATGAATTTCGTCGACTGGATTGGGTATTATTATTTATTATATTGAAAAACGTGTTAATTTTTTAAATGACACAACTTATATCATTTCACTCTCACAAAGAGGTGAGACCCACACCTTTATTTTTTTTTGCCAAATCTTTCATCCTTTATCTATCTCTTTCTCTCTCTTAAAATGACACAACTTTACATCGTTTAAAATGATACACACTTTACCGTATTATATTTGTTGCTAAATATATCTATCCCAACTATCATTTTTTAAAAACAACAAATTGATAGGATGTATGGGAATGCATCAATTTAAAAGTTAGATGATGCTATTAAAGATAACAAATTCACATGGCATCATAATATTTCAAATAAAGAGCAGAGGAAGTTATTAATTAAATTATTTTAATAAAAATAACTGAAATGGTAATGAATCTAGAAACATTTAACTCATAATATGAAGTTTGGGGCCAATACAGTTGCTATAACTAAATATGGTCATTGACTTTGGTCAGAGACTTTTACGTTTGACAATGTTCTACCGTTGTTTTTCTTTTTTCATTTTTCCCTTTACTTTGACTCCTTTGGCAGTTACTTTATAACAGTGCAGTAGTTTGTTTTTAGAAAAATATTTTCGGTGCTCTCATTGTATTTGATACATCTTTTTTCAAAAATAATAAAAAGTAATATTTTTATAATATTTTTGTCTTTATATTTATTTTCATCCATATCTCATATATTTTTTTTTTTTAGGCAAGAAAATGTACTCTTCAAAGGGAAAAGATATTATACTAACCAATTAGTGTTATTATCAATCAATTTCACCGTTAGATCGATTATATTGATCCAACGGTTATATTTATTTCTATCTTTGTATGGTTATGATTTTCTATATTTAATACTTTATATTTATTTTCATTATATGATTATGATTTCCCATATTTAATGCTTTCACATTAAATATAACATTAAATATGGAGAATCATAACCATACAAAGATGAAAATAAATATAACCGTTGGATCAATATAATCAATATAACGGTGAAATTAATTGATAGTAACACTAATTAGTTGTTACAATATCCTAGCCCTTCTAAAAACTTTTTCTTCTCCTACTTAACCAAAAACATAAGAGACCCACCAATAAAAAATAAAGTAATGGGCGGGTTTTTTTTTTATGTTTGTGCAGTAAAACATACCTCTTGTTTTTGTTACCCTTTTTGTAAAAAATAAAAAAGAAAGATAATTAATTTGATTAGAAAAAAAAAAAAAAGCATCTCTTAAACATAAAAGTTAGATAAAGATTAGTGAGAATACAATTTTATATTATTTTTTATTTTAAATTTAAATTCAAATAAGTTGAATGAATGCATGTATAGTGATAATTTTCTGATAAATGCTTTGAGAAAACATATTCCTGATGACTCCAAGCATATTCGTTATTTTGTATAGGTTTGAAATTGAATTGAAGACCATTACCTAAAAAAGATTCCAATTTTATGCCCATACGTTGTTGCTAACTATGAGCCATTCAGGGAATCAGTCCAGAAAGAGTTTCCGGTTAGACATAACGGTAACACAGAGATTAAAATTTAATTTAACGACGAGGTAATTAACGATGCGTGAACGCGCGTAATTAAATTAAAAAAAACAAAATCAACACCGAACTAACTAAAAACAAACCAAGGTAATAACCCTAAACCTAATTCACCAACACTTTTCCTATTTAAACACGCAAATCCTTCTTCTTCTCTTTACCCCTCTCTTTCTCTCTCTCTCCCTCTTCCTTTCCTTTTGTAACAAACAAACAAGGTTCTCTGTGTCTCTCTACAATCCCTAAATTCGTTGTGAATGCTAGAAACCCTAAGCAATTTCATGCGCTCCCTTTTGCCGTCGAGGGCGAGCGCTCTTCTCATCCCTGTTTCCCCTGCATCTGCTTTCGCATTCGGTTCTTGCAAGCAAGCCTGGTACTATCGCTGCCTCGGCGTCGACCCGTGAAGATTTTGTTCCTCCTCGCGGAAAAAATCGGACCCGATTTTGTTCATTTCTTTGTTTTCCCCCAAATTCGATTTTTTTTCGTTCTTGGGTCCCAAGTTTTTTGATTTGTTTCTTCGGATCGGCGTGTGTTTTTTGGGTCTCTGTTTTGCGATTTTATTTTTGGGGGATCGTGAACGATGTTGCTGAACAAGCAGAAGAAGAACCAGAACGCGAATGCGAGGAGGTTGTTGATCAGCATCAATGTGCTGGGAAGCGCTGGACCGATTCGGTTCGTGGTGAATGAGGAGGAGCTTGTGGCGGCGGTCATCGACACCGCCCTCAAGTCCTATGCACGTGAGGGAAGGCTTCCCGTACTGGGAACTGATATCACCGGTTTCGCCCTTTATTGCCCTCATGTTGGATCTGATGGTAACTTTTTTTTTTTTTTTTCTCTCATTTGCAAGTTTTCATCTTTGTACCAATTTGAATTTTTCACTTTGCAATGGTTTTTGTGTTTTGATGGTGTTACAGCTTTGGTTATTATTACAAATTGGATTGGAAAAATTTTTTGTGGTTTTTTGGGGGGATAATTTTGGATTTGTTTGAATATGAGAAGCTCAGCTTCTCTTTTTGTGATGGTTCTGAATTGTGTGTTTTGATGTTGTTGCAGCTTTGAGTCCGTGGGATACAATTGGATCACATGGGGCTCGGAATTTCATGCTATGCAAGAAGCCACAAACATCTACGAGTGCTGCTGCAGATGTTGATGGAGCTGGAAGAGGGACTGCACCACTTTCACGAAGGGGGAGTGGGAGCTGGAAGGCTTGGTTCAACAAGTCCCTTAACTTGAAGATTTCTTCCCATTGATCAATCAGATTTTGAATTGTGGGGAATTGAATAATTATTATGAGGGAAATTCCACTTTTATGTGTTCCTTTGTGGTGGTTTTTTTTTTTTTTTTTTTTTTTTACTGGTCGTTTCTGTTCTCGCTAGCTAGAGAACTCTTTTAGGAAATTAAACTTCGTTGTTTAGGTTTGATTTTGATGAAATAAAGTTTAGGCTTTGGTTGCTTTCCTTTCCTTCAGCTTTATGCATCGTTATTCCTGCTTCTTTCATTGTCTTTGAATTTGAGACACGGTAAATGTTGCCAGAAACTTTCCAAGGATATTCTCCTCATGCTGCTCTGAAACGTGTGAGTTGGATCAATTGAATAAAGTTTGGCGCAGTTGATGGTTTGGAAATTCAAAATGTATGCTTTTAGTCAACACAAGTGACAGCGGGAAACTTTAATTATTTACATACATTACATATTGGAAGTCCCTCACCAGATTGAGGGAGGGATGAATCATGAACTAGTGCAGTATCACATATCTTGTTTTAGCATGACTCAGGAGGATGGATCCCTCCTATCTTATTTTAATATGAAAATATCATGCAAAATATCTTAATTATTGACATACTAATATACAAATATCTTAATTATTGACATACTAATATACTTTTAATAATGATGTTAGTAAAATGGGAAAAAAAAAATAAAGAAATTGCCATTATAATTGCTGAATTGTTGATTTTTTAATAAATGACTGAGGTTATGAACTCTATGAATGAGTGATTGAGATTGAAACTTTTCATATAATGTCAAGGAGGGACTATCAATCTCAAGAGAGAATAGATCCTTTTATATTTTATTTCAGGACGATTTATGACAATAGATCCCTTTATGCCTTAGTCGTATGAAAATTTTCAGTCACTAATTGATAGATTAACATCACAATTAATATAAAAGAATTAATATCACAATTTCAATGACGAAAAAAATGGTCATTATTATTGTTGATTGTTAATTTATGAATAAATGAATGACATCTTTCATATAATATGCTTATATTAAAACTAGGACTTAAAGAGGATCTCATTCCCCCCGTGTCACACCTAAATCTTAATCACTCGTTTCCATTGGAAACATATTCTGAGTTAGTGGTGTGTGCATCGTTTTCTTTGGTCTTGCATTCTAATGCCATTCTAGTGGCGTGAAATGTGTGGTGATATTTGGTTAGAGCCTAAGACACCATTCAATTATTAATTTAAATACAGCGATGTGCATATCAAGTATATTTTTAATCAGCTGTTGCTGAACCGAATATGAATAGACAACACTGGGAACAATCTTTGTTTTTATCGAACTTATTCAATTCCAACTTGGCCACAAGCTGTATGTATAGGAGGTTCCTTAGCGGCTTTTCTTGGACAGATTCTAGCAGTTAAAATGCTTTCCGTTGTTTGTAATTTGAGTGTTTTTTTTTTTTAATTTGGTACAATGTATTTGGATGCTTTTGTTTGGCCTATTTTGCCCGAATATGAAGGTAGCACAGACTAGCTAGAAGCTTGCATATTCTATTAATGTATTCTATATACTTCACATATGAGGGTACAATGTTGTCATGCATGGTTCGGTCATGTGCAAAAAGGTGTTTCCAGATGTGGAAGTATAAAATTAGAACCCTTTATTTCTTAAACCGGGCATCTCTTAAATTTTGACGGGTGTGATTCGATCCTGATATTGATTGGCCCAGAGAAGAGAACTAAATGAAAAGCTCAAAGAAGAGATGATTTCAAAAAAGACTTAACACTGATTTGAGAATCAAGAAAAGGATGAGGACCGTCCCCCATTGCACGAAATTGTTATTTATTTTAACTTGTGATGCAATACGCAGTGTCCTCTTCCCCTCTTTCTACTCGTTGATAATTCAAATCAGACTTGAGATTGGGGATATGTGACTAGTTACGGGTTGCTTTCAAAATATTAAAGTGTGTGCATGTGCTTGATTCCGTTATACTTGCACTATGAGTCCATCCTTTCGCGGATGATGATACACGAATCTTTGACAATGATATTGTGAGATGAGGAATGTTTTTCTCTTTATTGGCCCATGAATACATAATTAAAAAAAAATAACATTTACTTATGACATTTACCTAACATTTATTTTATATCTTCTTTTCTTTAAAAATGACATTATCATACTAACCTAGAAAAAACATGAATTTGACACGACACGCAACACGACATGAATTTTTTGCGGGTCATTTTTTTCCAACACAAAGATGACACAAGTTTTCTTACAAGTCAACTCGAACATGAATTTTCGTATTGTGTTCGGGGTCGACCCGCATGTTATAACATATTTTGACACCTCTATTTATTATATATTATGTTAGAAAAAATATTTTTCCAATGAATATAGATAAAGTTAACTCTAGTAATCCACAATGATGTCATTATGGGGTTTAAGGAAAAAAAATAGTGAGTATTTTAAAAAATTTAATATTCTCTTTATATCATAAATTTTATTAAAATACCCTCTCTCTTTTTTGTTCAAACCCGAAAATGTTATCATTTGGGATCAGTGTCGGACTCAGAAAAATTATTTCATGTCCGCACATTAAGTGGCGGGGGAGGAGTTGACTTACTAATGCAGGAAAAACATAAAGGGTGAATAGCAAGTCTAGGCAGATAGAAACATAAACTAGTAAAAAATGATGTATAAATTAAGGGAAAATGTGTGTCATTTTAGAGGATATAAAGTTGTGTCATTTTAAGTGAGAGAAAATGATAGATCATGGGGGAGAGAGTGGACAAAAAAAGGTGTGGGTTCCACCTTTTTGTGAGAATAAAATGACACAAGTTGTGTCATTTAAAAGGACAAATATTTTTCTCATAAATTAAATGTTACTAGTGAAGCAAGTACGATAGTGAAGCTATGTCCAATGAATGTTGAGTTGAGCGATTGAAGTGTGCAAACCCAGAAAATAAAGTCATCCTATCTCTTCAGTTACTACCTGAAAAACAGTATTATGCCATAAGAATTACTGACATTTAATCTCAACACAAAAAAATATTTAACATCTGCATTGCAAAATTAACAGTGACTAATATAAATATTGAACCAAGAGACAAATAAGAACATGCAACAAAGAAGAAAAAAAAAAACTAAAATCAAAATTTTATGTCCGCAAGTGCGGACATGCATACATGAATCCTCCGGTGTTTGGGATTAAGAGATATTAATTCCTTATTACATTTATGGTGGATCCAATAAAAGGGGTCAATGAGATTGAAAAAAGCGTGATATATTAAAAAAATAATGTCATGACATAATAGTAAATAATTTAAAATAAGGTTGAATATTTTTTATATTATAAGAGATAAAATTATCTCTTATGTATACATAAAAATGTGTAAAATCCATATAAAATCTTGTGATGAGGAGATAGAGAAAAAAACATGAATCTGACATAATAATTTTCTCTTATAAAAAAACATTAAACCCTTTAAAAATTGTGGTGGGTTGATAGTTGTGTACTTGTGTCTAATTTTACAACCAATATTATTCGAATGTGATAAAATAATATTTTTTTGAAAAAGGCCGGAAAAAGTGTTTAATAAAAAACTGCCTTATTTTGTTAATTAATATCCGATAGATATTAAAATATTTTTTAATTTTTGCCGGGAGATAGTATAAAAAGTTTGAGAAAAATGTTTATCCTTTTAAATGACACAACTTATATCTTTTCACTCTTACAAAGAGGTGAGTCTCACATCTTTTTTTTTTTTTGACAACTCTCCTCCTTTATCTATCCCTTTATCTCTCTTAAAATGACACAACTTTACATTCTTTGAAATGACACAACTTTACATCATTTAAAATGACACATATTTTTTTTCAAAAAGTTAATTTCAAATTGTATTCTGTAGTTAGATGTCATTGTCTTGAATCAATGATAGGATCTTCTTGTTTGTGTTTGCTCCATTTGTGCATTAATTACTTCCTGTATTTATTTATTTTTGGCCAAGCTGACCAAAATATAGGCTACATACAGTATATATAGGAGATAAAATTATTTTTTTGAGAAATATTAATATCTTATTAAATGTAGAGTAAACACCTTTTTTGGTCCCTGGCAATATCTACGAAATCTTTTTTAGTCTCTGACAATAAAAAAGGACCAAATTGGTCCCTAACAGTATGTAAAAAGGGCTACATTAGTGATGGAGGAGTTGACATAAAGACTAATGTGGCCCTTTTTTTCATAATTTTAGGGACCAATTTGGTCCTTTTTTATTGCCAGGGACTAAAAATAATTTCGTAGATATTGTCAGGGACCAAAAAAAGTATTTACTCTCACATATAATATCAGTCTGCAGTGTATCTAACCTTTATTGTAGTGGGACTGATTCTCCAGGTCTACCATGCAATGGAAAAGGTTTGGAATTTATATTGAAAAAAATTAGTCACGGTTTAAATTGTGACTAATTTTATAGGACTGATTCCTTGCTCTTTCTATGCCATATTCCTACGAAAATTTTCAAAGACGACATGTGACGCTAATCTGATATGAATGAAGTGCGAGACTTATTTCATTAGATTGATATTATTTTTATAAACTATATTGTTTGAAAAAAAAGTTTTTAAAATTGCTTTAGTTTGATCGAAAAGTCCAAAATTTCAATTGTTCACTCATAACTTCATCCACGGCTTCATATTATCAATATCAAACATATTATCAAGCACTATAATTTTTTTTATATATATACATCAAGCACTATAAATTGAATTCTATCTTATAGCGGAAATCTTATGTAGGCAAATGATAAATCTTTAGTTTATCTTGTTTTATAAACTAAAATAATATAAATTATCAAGTTGAACAAGTCAAAAACTAGGGTTTTAATAAGATAATCATGAACATTATCTGAAATTTAATTAAATGAATTATCTTTGTTATTTTGAAGGGATTTTAAGATAAAGGAGGCAAATTTGAATATTGGAATCACAACTAGAAGAGATGATAGATGAAGATCAAAACAAGAAGATTTGAAGATCTTATTAAGTTGTTGAGAGAAGAGGCTTAAGCCCCCATCTTGAAGCTTAAGCCTCCTAAACAAGCAAATAGCCTCTGCCTATGGGAGCTTAAACCCCCATTTCGAAGCTTAAGCTCCCTCAAATCGCAAAAAGTCTCTGCCTCAGGGCGCTTAAGCCCCCAACTTTGGGCTTAAGCGCGATGCAAGAAGAAAATTCCAGCT